GGCCTGTGTCCTTTCATAGGCAGTTCTGCAAGGCGTGAGCAAAACCAAACACAACATTCACGACCTCTCGCTGTACGGTAGCGGCAATAACGTATGCTGCTCCAGCTACTGCTCTTCCATGTCTTTTTTTTTGTGGTTGCTGAGCCTATTTCGTTTAACATGCATCCTGTTTCCCCCCAGCTGTATTGTTTGATACTTATCTACGTATAATTCCTCTCTCCATTTACTGGCCCAGTAACAAAAAGATTCAAATCTTCTCTTGGGAAGATGGAATTATTTGCTTGTATCACTAATGCTGCAGCCGGTAACAAGCTTCAGTGTCCTCCATATGATATTTAAACCAAACCTTTTGTATGTCGGAAACAAACAGGGAAAACCCCAGGTGAAACTAAAATCCCACTGAAATCAATAGCCGGATGACCAATTAGTAGTAACCATGCAAGTCTCTTAGCAAAACTGACCCTAACAGGTTATTGTTTAGCTACATAAATCTCAATCATGGTGAAGTCATTTTTTGAAAATATTAACTCTTTCTTTCCTTCAGAACAGCAGGTCTTACCTGTCTTATCCTGCTTCTCCTGCTTTCCTATTTACTTCCCAGGTATAGATAAAATGGATAGAATAAAGCGAATTAGGGAACTGTGCTTTAACACCAGTGGATTTACAGACTAAAATATGCTTCCTTAACATGGGTAGTGGAGTACTCGAGCCATTTCTTTACTGATTCATAATCAGGAATTTGTAATATGTGAAGAATAAATAGAAAACCCACCTTGCATTTTACAGTAAATGTCGGCATCCTCTTATCTGAGTGATACACCAATATTTATGTGATGGAGATATGATTGGTACAGCTCATGTCTCAGGACTGCAAAAGCACTTTATTAAAGGGACATTCATCATCGAGTCTGATTTCTGTATGAATCCTCATAATATTACACAATCTGCTTTAGTAAGCTTCCTCATTTTCCTGAATTTGCATGCTGCTTAAAAACCCCTTTTTGTTTCTTACGGAAAAATACTCCCAGATAAGAAACACTCCTTTAAATTCAATTGTTATTGTTACTATTGGTGGTTTAAAACAGAAATCTCTTGTTTGAGCCTGCATGAATTTCTGGGGTAGAGTCTCGGGGAACTGAATCCTTGGCATTTGGTCTACTTCTTGTATGGGAGCCAGGTCCAGGGAAAAAAAAAAAGAAAAGAAAGAAAGAAAAAAAGCAAATTCTCATATGAACAGTCAGGCTGTGATATATTGAACCACATAGCAAAAAAGCCCTAAAAGCGGTAGACCATATGCAATGTCTAATTGATTAATCCTGCTCCTTGGGTATTTCTGTTATTTTTAGTAAAAAACATTCATTAAGAAAATGATTCCTGAGATTTTGTTTGTTGACTGTAAGCCCTGGCCTGACCTCAGCCTTGAATCCAAATCCCCAGGAGAAGTCTGAAATGAATCCACCCCTGGCACAGTTATTAGTAATTATAATTATTGACAGAGGCCACCGGTTGTAAATGAATGGCTTTCAGCAACATCATGCTTTACCTTAGAACAACGGGGGGAAAACTGCACTTTCTTCTTACCATACAGTAACTTCTCCTGTAACAATACACGGCCTGGTACGTCCAACCATTTGCCTATACACATATACATTTGTTCAAACCCTAGAATTCCTCAAGTTACAAACCTAAGCAATTGCAAACTGCTGCCTTCTGGCAGAGCGTGCGGCTTGCAGCCTGTTGCTCCCTGCACAGAGCGGGTGAATGCAGGGCTGGAGCTCCAAACCCTGCCCGGCTCGTGAGCAGCAGACAGGCAGGAGCAGGGGCAGGCGACTGTGTCCCCGTGCTGCGATTTCTGGTGACATTTTCCCCATCACTTGTCTTCAAGCTGCTCTAGAAGCAGGAGGTTTAGCAGAGCTGACGGGTAAACCTGCCTGCTGTCACGGAAAGCCCGGACTGCCACCAAAACCGTAATCGGGAAACCTGAGGAGCAAACGCAACCAACCAAACCGGCCCGATACAGCAGTGCTGGGAAATCCCCCCTCTCCTCGTGGCGGTACCGCGAGCTGCTCCGCGCGGCTGGAGCGCAGAGCACGGAGCTGCAGGAGCTGCAGGAGCAGGAAAGGGCCCTGCAGGGAGCCGCCCGCGGGCCAAGTTCGGACCATGCGCGCAGCCAGGGATGGCGATGGGGATGGGGTGAGCGTGGGGCAGTGAGGAGTCAGAAGCAACAGCCTGGGAAAATGTTTGAAAAAGTGCTAAGAGACTAGGGGGAAACGCCAACTTCTCCTAAGACTACAGGGACAGAAGTGAAGGGCACATATTTATACCTAAATCATTGTACTAATAGACAAATTATTGCATGTGCATCACAGTAAGTCATGGATCAGCAATTAAGCACACAAACACCTCTTAGCACACCCCAAATTGCTTGTCCCGGCGTCCTCCCTTGAAGTTGAAGCTTCCATGTTTTTCTAACTAGGAGCACGTGCTCGTTCACCACTCACCTGACACGCAGCAACGCAACAAACTGTCTGAACTCAGAGTACCAAATGGCCATGGGATTAAGGTTACACTCCTGGAAATTAATTAATTAAACTCTTGTCTGGGCTCTGCCTTGCAAGCCTGGGTTTCTGTGGTAAAACAGAGCAGGTGATCGTGTAAACTAAAGAGCTTCTCGTTGCACACAAGGGAAGACATGAAGGCAGCAGAGACAACCTGGTTCTGCCAGCCCCAGTGGGTGCCTTCCTTCCTCACGCTGCAATATTTGCTCTCCTTTAACAGTCCAGTGCCGTGTCGACACCAGGCCACCAATATATGAACAATCTCTGCACTGAGGGCTAAAAGTGGCAGCAGAAGAAAAAGATAAAATAATTGTGACAATTTTCCCTGGTCATCTGTGCTCTGTGTGCAGCAGCCGCTGCTGCTGCGGGTCTCGCTGGTGCTGTCCTTCACCTGGACCCTACACAGTGGTCCAGCCTCAGTCCTCCTCCCTTCCCCCTCAGCTCACAAAAGAAAAACACTAAGATGTTTCCATTGGCTTTTACATCATCTTTTTGTAGAGACTAATCTTCAGTTTCAACAATACATCTTTTGTGAAGAGCTCCCAGCAGAAACCTTAGACACCTTCCCTAAGATCTGTTTGCTTACAGAAGACGAGGCAGGATTTGTTTAAACCCATCTAGATTAATGTCTTGCAGACATTAGTGAAGTGAGATTTAATCAGGTTATTTCTCTACATTTTCCAGGGAAATAAATCACACTTATTACTAGGTTGGAATAAGATGCAAGGCTCGAGCTGAGAAAATTTAGTCTTTTTTGTTTTTCCTTGAGGGGAGTGAAAGGATAAATTGAAAATGGCTGCAAGGGCTGTTGAACAGTGAGCTCAGCAAAAGGCCCTGGGCAACTTATAAGAGGGAACAGCCAGAGAAAGGCACAATGTAGTGGTTAGTGCCAGCCCGGCTATGAGCCTTGGTCTCTATTCCCTGCCTTGCAGAGGGCCAGTCCTGAAAATCAAGACCTAGTACTATGGGCTCCGTATCAGCACAGGGAGCAGACAGGAGTGCTAAAGGGTTTAAAGTGGATTCACGAGATTTGTTTGAGATCCTCCACAGGAGGCCCCCCCTGTAACCTCGGGTTCTTACTCCTCTTCTGGGTGGCTGTTTCTGTCCGAGATTCCCCGCATCAGATGGATGTCCTGGGATCAAACAACCTTTACAAACCTTCTTACTGTCCTTAAATGAAAACTGTAATGGTCAACAGGTCCCCTGACCATGCACCTACCCTGCTGCTCCTGTTGCTTCTCAGCTTGCAGTATCAATTTAACAGCAAACACACAATTATACTGTTTCTACTCACCACAGACATTTTTATAAAACAAGACTGTCGAGGAAATAAAAGGAGCTGCTCTTTTCTGCAGAATAGCTTAATTTTAAAGCTACTCTTCTTATTATTAAATAAAAATAACAATAATAAAGTATTTCAGCTGTGCTAACACTGCTTCCTTTTGTTCAATTTTTAATATATACCCTTGTACAAAACAGCGTATGTGTAAGAGAGAAAGTCTGAAAACAAAACGTGCAAACATCCTCTCCTCTACACCAGCGCAGGAAACCAAGGCTGACCCACGGACAGCTAAAGTCAATACCAACCCTCCTGCTAACTATAGGTTCTGCATGTGCTAAAGAGGCCAAAACCCCTAAGAGTTGTTAGTCTGCAGTCCCGTCTCAAAGCACAGGACAGAGCAGCACAGCGTGTAACGCGGCCTGCCCGAAACCTTACTGAGGAGCACAACAAAATACAGTCTGTGTGGCGCAAAGGAGAGAAGGAAGCACCGGGTGAGGCAGCACTGTTGCTTGTAAATACCCCCTTGCTAAAGCTTTCCACGGATAAAGCTGTTCTTCGAATCCTGACTGCATCAGTGTGATTCAGACCGTCTATTCCAAGGTAAAAGCCACGACTGTTTTGTTTTCAATGGGAACTTCTTTCCCGGCCTTTTCTTAGCTTCCTGCTTATAAAGAATAGATTCTCCAGAGACAACTTTGGCCGTGGCCCATGATCTTGCTCCCGTCACATAACTAAGTATCTCTGGGCAGGAGTACATTTAAAGAAGCAGCTGGTAATTATTAGCTGAGTGCTCACTGGCAGGATTTCCCCCTGGCTGCTGCACCAGAGCTTTTGGGAACTAAAATGGCTCTTTGGTGATAATTATCAGGTAAAACCCACAAGCCAGGGGAGGGTCCCTCATTACAACCATCAGCAAGAAGCAACACAAAAGAGGGAGGGTGGAGGATGGTCAAAAGTTGTGTCTGAGGGTTCCCTCACCTCTCCTGTCCTCCGCATATCCAACAGGGCTATACAGAGTTGCATGGGCATTTCCTAGGTAGCTTGAAAGCTACAGACTTTCTTCCGACACCTACAGAGGCAATGAAACCAAATGACCTTCAGCTTCTTTCTGTTTCATCCAAGAGAAAAGAGCAGCAAAGGAGACCCAGCGTGGCACTTACTCTTTGGGAGGGTTAAGGTCTTCCGGGCGAGCCTCGAAGAACCTGAAGACTTCATCGCACTGGGAAATGTGAGGAGGAAGCCTAACCAGCGCCTGCAAGGGAAAACAAGAGGCAGGAGAAGCAGTTAAAAACAAGTTAAAAGCATGACCTCAAACATCTGAATTACAGTGCAAAGGGAGGCCAAACCATCTTGACAGGGAGAAGGAAATAAACAGGGAAACAGCAGGCCTGGCTACTTACAGAGATAGGGAAGAGCATGTGTCGACTGCGAATGAATTTTTACTGAATTTAGACAGGTGATGGTACCCAGAGGAGGCTACATGGAAGCGTGCCGGCAAGGGAGCCTGCAGCTACAGTATTTTTTTGCCATGTGCAGAAGAGCAACATTTGCTCCACGTGTGTAAATCCCTGCTGCTGGGCAGGTAAGGGCTGCATGGCGGAGCCGCGCTCTGTGACCTGCGTTTCCACAGCACCTCAGAGAGCGCAGCCGGCGCTTCCGGGCCCCACTTCAATACACACACCTTCTAATAACGAAAATCTAGACTCAACACCCACTAACACAATAGATTAACGTGCTCCAGAAGGCTTTCCTCTAAGCACTGTCAACAGAAAAAGCAGAGGTAAAAAAAAATAAGAAAGACTGTGCTCCTGAGTCGCTAGGAAAGGCAGTTTGATGAACTGCCTGCAAGAAGAGGTGCGGAGGCCACGTCTTGCAGCGAGCGCCTCGCTGCAAGGGCTCAGATCCGTCTGCGTAGCCTCCCTGCGGGGCTCAGGGGCACTGACTCCAACACGCTCAGCATCACTGAGCATGACCTAGGAAGGAAAAGGAACCACCTCGCATGGAAGCGTGCCGGCAAGGGAGCCTGCAGCTGGGGAGATGAGCCAAGCATGGGAACGTGCCGAGATGTGGGATTTTGCCATTCAGGTGCCAAGGCTTGGCAGTGTGAGGAGAGGCCAAGCAGGCACCCACTGCCCACGAGGAGACAGGGAGCAGCTCTGCGTGATGGATTTGGAGATCCACTCGAGACACGAGCAGCAGGAGAGGACGAGAGGCCCGGAGGTAACCGCCTCCTGCACTGAGCTGTGCTGCAAACAGGCCACGGGAGCAGTTAAATATAGAGCAAGCTTCTTAGAGGTGCTGTAAACCTGTTTGACAAAGTGAGATTGTCTGGCTCTTTTACCAGCTGAAAGTAGGACAAACAATCTTGAAAGACGGATGAAAAACTGCACCAAGGCTAAATGGAGGTGCATTAGGGCGAGCTGGTTATACTAACCCGTGGGACATCTCATTTATTTTGGTCGGACACACACGAGGAGGCCCAGCCAAAGCACTGAGGCAGGACAGGGCAGTTTGCAAACCTCGCTGTTTTGTGTTTAACCCAGCTCTAGAAGTGGTGGAGTTTGTTTCCAAGACTGCTCCTGCATGCGGGCATGAAGGATAGCAGCAAGTCTCCCGGGGCAGATGAAAAGGTCCTGTTCTGAGGTGGCCCAAAATTCAACGTTTAGTGCTTCCAGACCTATAGTTCTGCTTTCCCTGCTTGAGGGATGTTACATAAACACAAGGAAATGTCACTTGATACCAGGAGGCTTATGGAGAATGAGGCAGTGACCTTTGGCCATTACAGAGCAGAGAATATCTTGCAATGAGGAAGCGGCATCAGATGCAGAAGCCTGGAAATGGCCTGGCAGGTCCCAGTGCCAGCAGCGTGCACAGAGGGCACTGCTGGCTCCTGCACTAATGCAGGATGAAACAGAGCAGATGGAAAACTGAAGTGCTTTATTCTGAATGAAAGATGCCCTCATCTCTGTTGCTATCCACTCAATCTGGCTATCTTACCGAAAAGGTGTGAGCTGTCTGCCCTTATCCCTGCCGTGCATAAATACACGTATCCACCTGGCAAATCAGGACTAGCCCCGGGAAGTCAGTAACTGCCGGGAATAGCAACAGTTTGGGCATGTCGAACGAGGAAGAGCAACGCGCGGCCAGCACGGACACAGCAGCGGCACAGGCAGCGCGAGCGCAGGCTGCACCCCGCGCCGGGCAGGCAGCAGCCAGGCTGCGCAGGGAGCGAGGCCGTCCCGCGGGAGCCCACGCGCCCAGACGCGGCCACGGCTCTGCTGCTCACACCCCTCGCTGCGGGCACGATGCTTAACCCCTGGCCGTCAAATTCAGCTGGGAAATGTCTTCAGTTACCCATTGACAACACTTACCTAATCTGCAGAAAGGTTACAAGTCTCGACTATTTAACATCTACAGTGAAACCTTTAAGGGCTTGATCTTCTGCAGTCAGTGGGGAAAGAGCGAGCACAGTAAATGCTACGTGTCGTTGCTAGAGGAACATGAGCACCCAAGTCACACATGTTGCTGGCGGCTCTTGGACATCAGACACCTCCTCCAAGAACTGCCACTTCCTACACACTGCAGGTGTCCAGCCTCCCTAGAAAGCAGCCTGCAGATGTCCACACTGAACTGGAGCACAGAGTGGGTTTCGATTGACAGAGCAGCACAAATTCTAGCAATTTGCCCTTTAAATTTGTGTTTCCAAACCCCTGGAAGCTTTAAAAAATCCTGCCCCATGAATCAGTGGTCCCATGCTGTGTTTTCTGCTGGGCCGTGGTGGGATAACTGAAAATTAGCACCTCCTTGGTGACTCTAGGCGTTCACAGGCAGGGAGCAGTGGGTAAAAACCCAGCAGCTGAAGTTGTCTCCACACCCATGTATCCACCCCAGGCACCACGCGGACACGGTGGCCCTGGGGCAGGACTGGCTCCTCTGCTTCTGAATCACCTCCCAGCGTGCTGCAATCTTCAGCCCAGGACACCACACTGCAATGAAATGCACCCACCATATCCTTGTCATGGCATGCCTTTACAGAAGATCAGGAATAACGTCTGGAGCCTGACAACTTTTATTCCCTTTTCGATTAAAAAACAAGCCCCTAAAAAGGATAAGAAAAGCTAAGAAAGTGCAAAAAGAGTATAAAATGTGGTAAAATCAGTCTATTGATTTTGGAGGGTGGCAAACGGCAGCAATGTTGTTTTGAAAATCCTCAGCAAACACCCAGCATCCACCCACGAGCAAGCCAAATGCTGCGCGATCCCGGACGGAACAAAACGCGCATTGAGGAGACAAGGGACACTGTGCTGTCACTCTGCAAGGGCAAAAAGCACCTTTCCAGCACTGCCAGGAAAACGGTTTCAGGGCAGAGGTAGAACAGTCTAAAGGGAAGAGTGCAGGGCCAAGGGCAGAAGGCAAAAGAAAAAGAAGAAAACAGATGGTGAAAGGATGAAAAGGAGCGGGAAGTGACATTCTTCCCAGGACTTGGAAAGCCGTGGTAAACACACGCAGCTACAAAGAACAAGCGTCCAGAATCAGCACGGAATTTGCACAGGAAAGGTGTGAGATGGAAAGGGCCAGCAGCAGAATCCTCGCACAACGCTGAGCGCTATCGCAGCCGCGTGCCGAGGCGCTCCGTGTGCCGCGGGCGCCGCTCGCACCCCTCGCGCTCCATGGGAGAGGGGCTTCCGTGGGCTATTGCAGCCCATAACGATGTCTCGCTACAGGATGGGTTCGTGGGAATCTCGGAGGATCACTGGGTGATACAAAAGGTTCTTAGCCCAGCTGTGATGCCAGGGCTTTAGCAATCAGCCCTCGTCACGGTGCGTGCAGCAACGCAGGGCACCCAGCCCACGCAGGGCTTCGCTGCTTAAGGTTACATGAACTGCAGTCATGTTAATGGAAATGCGTTACAGCTAGAAGGCTTCATAAGGCCTGTGTAAGCAGCTCTAAACCCCCGCATGTTTGTAGGTATGCACCCACAGCTGTGTTGCAATAATGCGGGTGTATTTGCAAAAAGTGGTCTCACATACATTCATACAGGGGTATATATGTGTGTGTAAGTGCATGTATATGTACGTGTAGAATGATATTCACCCCGCCAAACTTAATGTGACTAATGCTGGAGACTGGTCACACTTGTCCAGTCAACTTCTGTAGTCACTAGAGAAAGATCAGCACCTTCAGAGGGTGGTTTATCCACCCCATCACACACATTTAGTTTTGGACAGGGTGAATCACTCACTATCTCTCTCCACAGCCTGGTGAGGGAGTCCAGACATGCAATTCTTAGATCCCTGATGCTCCCCGAGGTTAATCCCAGCCCTGCACACAAACACAGGACCATAGCTGGGCCTCTGACACAAAACATAACGCACCAGAAGAGCAGGTCTTGCTCCAGGTACTGAGGGGAGCGCTGCAGATAATGAGCTCTTATTACAGCAGCTGGTCTAAATGCATCAGGATTCCAAAAAGTATGAAAAAATGACAGATTAAATTAAATAGTTTTTCCTTTAAATATTTTCATTCTTCACCAGGACTATAATTCCATTTTCATTCAGCACTACCTTAGTTGTACAATGGATATAAACACAAATGTCTGTGTATTTGCCTTGACAAGCTCAGGGATTCAAACTTGAAACTGAAGGACTGAGACACCAATGGCGGGTCATTATGTTTTGCTTTTTGAAGCGTGATCTCTCAGGCTGTGGACATCACTAATAGAAGACTGACCAGTATTTCTTGGCACTGCTGTGACTTGCTCATCATCCAATTTTTTATTTAGGTCGTGTACATTTGGGTACTTAAGCATTGCTTTAGAAAAGCCCTTAAGCACCTACTTAAAGCCACCTCCAGTTGGGACAACATAAAGACATGTGATGAATTTAAGTGAGTATTTATGACAGTGGCATTTTATGTGCTTAAGAATCTCTCTGAACTAAGATGCTTTCCTCAGTCAGGACCTAAATGCTCAGAGGTGCAAGTCTGCAAACGCTGCTCTGAGTCTTCATGGAGGGCTGAGCAAGGAGAGTGGTGGCTTTGGGAACCACTGACCTGAGAGGTCTCCTTTGAACATAGGGCAGTGCATATTGGACATGCACACACCGAACGTGTGTTTGAGACATCAAAACCTTATTAAAATGCCTCTGACAAAGCAACACTATAAAGTTGCTCTTTCTTTCCCATTGGCACAGGCTCCTGAAAAATGAAGAAAACCAGCCTCAATGAGCCCAGAAGACTGTAAATCACACTAAGCTAATTCCAAGGCTACACTTCAGAGGGAAATCATCCAGAGATACCAATTCCAGTGGGCAGCACATATTTATAGGCAAAACTCAGTCTGCTGGTAACTTGCTCAGGTTACCAACAAGGACACCCAGACCCCACAATTTTAAGTTTACAGATGAGAAAAGCTCTGGAAATCTTTCCTTGTATGCCCCAGTCCTCTGTTTTTCATTGAAGCTTCAAAACTCCTTATGGCCTGAGCAAAAGCACTGCCTGAATCATCTCCATGATGATATTTCTCTAAGCTGGTATAAAGCAGTGAAGAATCACACAGGCTTGAGGGGTCCAGAGAGCCCTGCTATGGGGTGCAGAGGGCTCACGGGTTTGATGGCTGCTACAGATAATTTTGCAGACCTCATGGTACTGCTGATTCTCCCCACAAACACTCATCAAGGGCCTTCACCCAACCCTCCCTGCTCCTGCACCTGGGGCAAGAACAAGACACCAAAACAGCAGAAGTCACACCTGCTTCAAAGTCATGCAAATCGTCACGCCTGGCCAGGGACAGGCTGCAAAAACAAAGCAACAAATGGCTGAACATTTGCATCACTCCTTTGCCAGGGCCATTTGTGCTTCCTCCTTCCAGGAGAGGTGGCTCAGTCCTCACATGGCAAAAATACTACCACGAACTTTACATCTGAGCCTGTCTCCTTCCTATATTTCCTTGCAGACTCAAGTGGATAAAGGTCTGTTGTTGCATTTATTGATTTTAATACCCTGTGGCAGATTTTTGCCATCAGCTTCACCCACATCATTCCAGCATCATTCTCTAAATATTTCCATATTGAGCATGCCATCTGCCTACCCATTCTAAGAACAAGCCCGGGACATAAGCTTTGCACTGTTCCTTTAGAGGAATGGGAATTGACCTGTCAAAATGGGGCTCTTGTTCTACAGTTCAGTGCAATTCTTCCAAAGTCAAAAAATACACTGGATGAGAGAAGAAAGGTAGAAAACAGCCGATGCTTCCAAAGTTATAGGCATGATTCTACCCTCACTCAAATCATGTTGAAACACACAGCAGTAGCTGCTACTCAAGAGGAAATAGTAATGATTAATATTATTTTATTAGCAAAAAAAATGTTCCTTTCCTACACCACAGGGGGTTTCCTTGAATTTCCAATCAGCTTTCCAAAAACTCACATTGGAGCTAAGCTAGCCACATAGGTTCCCTCTGTAAAATGAAGAAAAATTAATATTTTTGGTTTAGGCTGGTGAAATGAGCCAAATATAGTTTTGATTCACCATCTCTCTTTTCAGTAACCAGTTCACAACTTCCTAGCATGTCTGGTTAAGTTCATATTGCAATGTAAACCTTAAGTTACTGTGCTGGGTTATGAAAGTCGTATTCCCAGATACCTTCTAAGTAATCACCTTTAATGAAGTTACCAAGACATTACCAAGAGTTACCAAAGATCCCAAAATGGGATTTTTAAGCATTATGCAGCCCCAAAGATGAAGTTCTGCCCCAGCTAAAGTTCAGAAACAAAACCAGCACTGACTTCACCATAGCAAGAACCTTTCCTTCTACAAGGTGTTTCTAAATTAATGTTTTTGGAACTTTGAAGTTCACAGTTTCTAATTTTCTTCATATTTTTCAAAGTCCTGTGGACTACTCTCAGCCAGGTTTGAAAGAGCAGTAACACAGGACAATCATCCTTTGAATAAATGCAAATTGGATGAGCTAGAAATTTTCAAAAGAAAATCTTGTTTTTGCAGGATGTGCCACAGGAAGGTTGGCAGAGGTAGAAGTTGCAATTGCTCAGGTCCCTCTGTTTATATTCATATGTTTCCAACTGTGGGCTGTGGGATTTCAGAGCAACTGGGCAAGTCCTGTGCCAGGCATCAGACTGAGCAGTTACCATGTTCTCTTTAATCCCTATGATTAAGTAGAGACTTTAGTGGAAGGAGAAGAAATTGGCCCATAACTGGGTAGACAGGGCACCATTCTTGCACCTATGCTGTTTTAAGAGTGAGCACAAACACACCAACCATCCACACTGTTCAAACTAATGCCCAGGCTTTGAGTGAACACAGATATGAGATGAAAAAATAGCCTGAGGGGGCTTTATGTCCTGCCACTGGTCCCAGCACCCGGCTACCTGCAGACACAATCACAGTCATACACACCTGGACAAGATACTCCACCTGGGAAGGACTCCTTCCCATGAGGATCTGACACCCCATGCACACAGATGTGATGGGAGATGTAGGAAGATGATGCTCCTGAAGAGGACATGCAGATACAAGATGCAATGTTTACTTGAGCTTTTCAGGGACTTCTAGTCTCATGCTCCAGTGCTATTCAGCTCCAAACACTTTTGTCCAAGTGCCAAGGCAATTAAACACAAATTACAGCAAGCTACCAATGAACTAAAATGACACCAGATCAGGCATGAGAGACTTGTGAGCCGCAAATCATTGGAACTGGATACTATCCAAGAGAAGTTGCTGTATGTCTGCCCTAGTTTTGTGTTCTTTGCTGGACACCCACCACAGAATCACACACAGAATCACGGAATGGTTGAGGTTGGAAGGGACCTCTAGAGATCATCTAGTCCAACGCCCCTGCTCCAGCAGGGACACCCAGAGCACGGGGCACAGGGTGGCATCCAGGTAGGTTTGGAAGATCTCCAGAGAAGGAGACTCCACAGCCTCTCTGGGCAGCCTGTTCCAGTGCTCTGTCACGCTCACAGTAAAGAAGTTCTCTCTCACAACAGACTGCAAATAGAATTATAGCCATGGCTGTTGTTGGAGAAAGCAAAGACGAGGCTGCAGGAAACCGGGGTCTAACTTGATATGGCTGTTTTTATGATCATTAAAACAGCACTAATTATAAAGTAGATGAAGCAAATGATTGGGCTTGGGGCAGCACCCAGCCACCTCTCCGAGCTGGACAACAGCAGCAAACCCACATGCCGGCGATGCCGCCACAACGCGCTCCGCCATCAGCGTGGCCCCAGGCCGGCTCCGGCGGGGGCACGGGGCCTGCACCGCCGTCTGCCCATCCCGGGCGGTCGGAGGTCGCGGCGGCCTTCCCCCCCTCACAGTCAATGACGGCTTTGGAGATAGCGCATCTGCTCCGTGAACCCTGACATGGCGCGGCGGCGCCGGCGGCGCGGGCAGTTCCTGTCTGAAGGAAGGAGGCCCGGGATGCAGTGGGAGCGCACAGAGTTTAAAGCCAGCCCTCAGAGCCCGCTCAGGAAGACAGTGCGCTATTTGTCCCACGAAAAGCCTGATCTCATGAGATAAGGCTTCGCTCAGGGTTTCCTTGCCGGGGTGGTTCAGCTGGCACGGCTTTCAATGGAGCCGACTTATGCCCCCCGCCCCTTTCCCCTCGCCTCAGGCACTGCAGGGATCTGCTCCCAATTTTGGATGAGCAAATGTCTGACAGGAAAAGTTCTTGTGAATGTATTTTTTCCCCTCCACCTGCTCCGATGGTTTTCTGAAAACAGAAATACAGCCTCATAGGAAATAAAAGAGGAAGTCTGGGGTTTAAATTATGCTCTCGGGCTGACACACTTGATACCTCTATAAAAAACGGCTATCAGTCTTGCTTAGAAATGGCTTTTAATCTACTGTCAGAGGATTAATTATCAGCAAATCATAAATTCAAAGCTGGAAAGGAAAGATTAGGCTGCTTAACCCTCTCTTCCACACAGCAAGGCTTTTTTGTCCTGCAATGGATTTCCAGGCTCTCACTTGCCACTAGCAATACACTCAGAGGTATTCAGCCTGCCTCCAGCTCTGCATAAACCTGAATTTTCTTAAAACATTGGCTTGAGAAGATAGAAAAGATACAATTTTTGTCACCTTTCTGCCTGCTACCTCTTACATTCATCAAGACTGAAGTAAGCAGCTGGTAGAAATAAAGTCTACACATGTGAAATGCACTAACAAGGCAGACCAGATTCATGGTCTTCACCACTTTGACCAAGATTCCTGGAACCAAAGACTGGGCCCTGCTTCCACTCACACAGCTAGTCCCAATGTTTGGGAAGTACCATCCTCTTCTGAGGGTCTTCCTCCCTCGTTTGGTTTAATGAAGATCCTTCCTGTAATGGACTCTTACCCGGCAGTACTCGTCAATGGGCTTCAGCCTCTTCACTGCCACATCCCGAACATGGCTCCTCCGGAACAGGATCTTGCCTGAGGAGAGAAAATACAGAAACGGAGGTTTAGGAGCACAGCACAACAGCACTGTACGAGAAGCAGACGCCGGCGGTCAATGCCCTGGACCTGCGTCCGGGGCACGGAGGTTCATCCCCAGCCCAGCTCCTGCCCTCTCCTTCCCTCATCATCGTGGGTGCTCCCACCCAGGCCCCGGGCGAGGCTGCAGCCAGCGCCTGAGGAAATACAGGGCAGCTGGAGACAGAGCCCTTGTCCATCTACAGAAGGAAACCACACAATAGAAGAAAAATAAACAAACTAGACACATCCAGACGCGTCTCTAGAATCACAGTCCTGACAGGAGATACAATTTGGGGCTTGTTTTTTTTTTTTTTTTTTTAAGTGAAAAATAATAACCTCAATGTCCTTAGTAGATGACATTTCTGCAAGCTGGGTAAGATTAAATGAGTAGCTGGGTTTTGTGTTAAACTGATTATAACAAACTTTATCAAAATAATCTAGGAGCTGAGTTTCCCCACAGACAAGGATGTCATGGAGTTGGTATTTTTCAGGCTTGAAGGGATTACATCTTCATATCCTTTTTTGGTGGTTTTCTTTCCTTTTTCTTTGTGCTCTATTTCTTTTAATGTATTGAGACAATAAATTACATGTTTTCCTTGTGGTGGCAGATGAAGACAGTATCTGCCAGCGTTATTTAATCCATGAAATGTCTATGTAAAAAGCACACTGACATATATATCAACCTCCACTCCAAACATGGTCTGACAAAGTGCAAATGAAATACTCATCCATAGATCATGGGATAAAAATACAGACAAGGAAATGAAGTCAGATCTGGAATCTGAATACGTGGCTTTGATTTTGCCAGATTTACAGAAGCTGAGACGTTAATGAAACCATATCCTTTAATAGCCCAGTAGGAAAGGAGAGGGCTAAGCTTAGCCTGCTAAGCCTCACAGGCTAGGTCTCTTTGGTTGCCTTTTCCTTCCATAGCTGCTCATCTATTAGGTTTTAAAACCTTATGCTTCAGACTAAGGGAACTGGTTTATTGCAGTCGTCAAATGTGGAAGCAAAACTGGTCATTTCAGTTTGTCCTGCCAGGTAAATTCATCATTTCATAGTGACGATAAATATATCTATCTGGGTCCAGGCAGCTATCTCATTACAAAGCTGGTGCTGGGCCATCCCTGGAGGGTGCGATGCCATGCGGTAACAGAACACAGAGGACACTGGAGATCTCCAGTTGAGGTCCAAGATGTTCATCTGTCCTAACTGATTCGGACAAAGGAGAAGGATTTGGGACTTCCATATCCCTGGACTGACTGACTTTGGACACATCGAAAGCTTGTTGTTCTCCTGCTTTCCCACTCAGTAAATGAAGAAAACTACCTGTCCTTACAAAACATTTCTTACTACTTCTGAAGGCTTCTAGAATCACACTGCAGTAAGCCTAAAACTTGTTCAAGTTGCAAAGAACAAGCAATATGTTGGAAATATTCTCACTTTCTGTCTTTCTTGTTTTCAGTCCAAACCATGAGTTGAAAGTCTATCTGGTAACCATATAAAAACATAAAGGAACCAAAGACTTAAACACATGAAAGATCTCCTGTAAATGTAACTCAGCTTTCCTAAAAAGACAGTTTACAGGGAGGCCCAGTCTTCAAAGTAACATAATAAATGAAAGACTCAAACATAAGAAACAAGATAAATATAATAAAGAACGTTATATTAAACACAGAGTACAGAAAAGACCCCAGGATATGATGAGTCTTAATTCAGTCCTTAAATGGAGATGGAAAATATCAGGATGACTGTGGTGTTAGGATGAAGCAAAGCCCAGAAGGTGCTCCCATTTTTATGCCCTCAGAGAAAGGAAGGTTTTCATTCTGCTGAGACCACTAACGGAAAATACTGATACTAGAATACTGAAGCTAGAAAGGGCTACATCAGGGTTACAGGATAGATCTGTAGTTGTCCAGCATAGTACAGCATTAAGACCTGTGTTGTGCAGAGGGCTGAGTACAGACGACAAGCATGAAGTAGCAGTTGCCAAGGGAAAAAACAGGCAGAAGAATAAAGATATTCAGAAAACACGGCCAGTTCTTGAGGGGGAGCACAGCAGAGAGGATGAGAAGATGGAGCATAACTTTGCCAAGAACAGTGATTCTTGGGCAGAGAAGCCTCGTTTATGGGGATACAGAAGCAACTCTAAGGAGGCACAACCTCCCAAATGCTCAGCTGCTTCTCTTTTCTGGGAAGATGAATGTGCCAAAGTTGGCTGAACGCATCATGACTGCACAGCAGGAACCACCGCCTCCAGCAGAAGTTACTACTGCTTTCTCCAGCTCTTCCTTTTCTACTACTCTTCTTCAGAAATCAGGGTAGATCCTCGGGCGCTGGAACAGGAAGGCAACGGTGAGCTGTGCACTTCTTCATGGTCCCCAAGTGGTACTGGTCCTTTTCTCGATGGTACACGCTAATAGGAAGGCTTGACTAGCAAGACAGTTAGGGTTATTCTGTTATTGCCATGCAGAAATAAACAGCAGAGAAACAGCTGAGTAGGGGGGCACACAAAAACTATTGAGAAAACCTCAGGAGGCCAGAGGAAGGGAGCGTTTCATGAAGCACTAATGTGAGATGGGGAAGTCCTAGGGTGGCTACTAAATGAGAACAGCTTGGGCAATTTTCTGGGAAGGGTGGTGTTCTGGTTTGTGTGCAGCTTGGCCTGTCCACTTGGTACACACATCACTAGGGAAAGAACCAGCTTCTGCATGAATACATACAATACTGCTTCCTCTCCGAGTGACAAACTGAATTTTACTGCAGCTTTTTAAAACCTCCCTAGGCACTAAGCCCCATTTCACACAAGGCTGAGCAGCTTGCTAACCATGCTGCAACCCAGCTAGGCAGTGAATGGAAAGTCTGTCTCGGTCTCGGATGGGAAGCGATAGGCCATGGGGGACTGCACTGCATTTTGCAAGTATTATTCACAGATGTGCCAGGCTTGGACAGGGCCAAGGGAGATTTGTGTTAAGAAGGACAACTTGGACTGGAGCAGTGGGGAAAGAGAAACGGTGGGAAGACACAGGGCTCCAGCCCTGCTGCTAATGCAATATGACAATATTTATTTTTATCCTTTTTTGCTTTAAAGAAAATATTATTACTAGGAAATTAATGTGGATAAGAGGGAAAGTATCAGGTTTAGCATTGTAGGGGACATTTCAAGTCATCCCTTCATCTCTCTTTGTTAATACAGATACAGTCTTTAATTCCACGGCCCCACACCTCTTCTTCCACAGGATCTCAGCCTCCTCCTGCATACAGACTGTATGCACAGAGTGGGAAGAATTAAACTGTCTGGGGCATTGTGTATCTGGCATCTGGAGATTCTGCAAGGTTAAGGGTGCTCTCTGAATATCTCTTCATTCCTGCATAACCTTGTAGTCAGTGTAGCACAGACTTCAAAAGGCACTGTGTACCCCAAGAACAAACAGGTTAAAAAACACCCCAGAACTCTGGACCAGGCATCAGCCTATATCTCTGTGTTCCTATTGGCAATATTACAGTTCTTAACACAGTCAACAGTGCCTGTAGAGAAGAGAGATGAGCAGGATGCAGGAGCACATGCATGCACAGCAGCACACGGGAAGGGTCCATCCTGCAACGCTCTGCAATGGTGCTGGACCTGGATCCGCAGAAGAAGCCCAGCTCCACTGGCCAGTGACACTGGAGGCAGGGGACTGCAGGGCATCACAAGGCAGAGAAGTGCTAGAAGTCCCCAAACGGTGCCTAGCAGGAGAGACCAGGGTTTCTTTTTCAAGGAAGGGGGAAACGTAATCTATGCTCTTGCTATCGTGGTGGATCTGACTGACACAGCAACTGCTGCTCTAAATGGGTGATTCATAAGCTCTAAGACAACCTTTAATAAAACGTATCTCCTAATTGCATCTTTCATTGCAAAGGAGAAGCCCTGTGTATCCAGACCTAGAGACCTCCTCGAGGTCTTCCCTTCCACCACTGTGGCAGCCCCTCGACTGCCGACTGCCAGAATTGCTGCTCTTGGGAGCAGAGCTGCTGACTGGGAGCTTCAACACTCGAACTCAGGCAGCGTCACAGCAAGAACTAGAGGGAGGCAGGGAAACTGCTGCTTAGCTCCTTTCCAAATCTATCAGAGAATAGAACCATGAATCCATGTCTTTCTCTTGCTCTGCTTACTGAGCTTTTCCATTCAACGAAGGTCTCGCTGATGGATTGATCTAAGGACACCAGTTGTTTCGTGCAAGAAGCTTCTCTCCCTGGGAGGCTAGGAAAAGCCCACACCCAATGTAAAAGGAACAGTGAAGAAATCTGTATTACCTTTCATCTTCTACCTCAAGTACAGTCACCACGCTTCAGAGGGCAGTAAGTGAAGCAAACCACATGAAAAATGTTCAACGGCAGACAGCCTGAATACTTATGGGCATGTAGTGTCTCATCTGATTTATGATTAAAAAGACATGTGTTGCCTCCAACTTTAGTAGCTACAGCTGTGGAGACTCTGTCCATCAGCTGTCTCTGAAAAAGAATGGGAGTATTTGCTGCTGTCTTTATGCGTTATCTTGCTGTTGGTTCTCTCCTCCTTTTTCACCTGAGGAGCTGGGAGATAACAGATCTCTGCATATGTTACCAAGAAATAAGTTCAGCCTAAGATCAGCTTCTCAGAGGCAGAGTTTGCTTAAGAGATGAGGTCAGACTCTTTCTGCAGATACACTGGACTTGCATCAGTGGAAAAGAGAAAAGAATTTAGACCTAGCACAGTTACAGCTTCTCCTTTGGGGCTAAGCAGCTTCCTCCAGTGTAAATAACACCATTTTGTGGCTGAAGTATTTTTATCAAGGCTTCCATTTCTTACACAAAGCTGTTCTTATTTTTATGCACTGAAGAAGCACAAAGGTTCTATCAAATATGACACAAATTTCTTTCAACCCATTTAAGCTGTGACATTCCCCCAAGGGTTCTGCAAGAAAAGCTCAGGCACC